GTCGTCGGCATCGGCGTCGGCGTCGGCGTCGGCAGTCGGCGTCGTCGTCGCCGTCGCCGTCGCCGTCGTCGGCGTCGTCGTCAGCGTCGTCGTCGTCGTCGGCGTCGTCATGCGTCGTCGTTGTCGTCGGCGTCGTCGTGCGTCATCGGCGTCGTCGTCGTCTGTGTTGTCGTCGTCGTCGGCGTCGTCGTTGCCGGCGGCGTCGACGTCGTCGGCGTCGTCGCGACCGGCGTCGTCGTCGTCGTTGTCGTTGTCGTCGTCGCCGTCGTCCAGCGTCGTCGTCGTCGGTGGTGGCGTCGGCGTCGGCGTCGGCTGTGGCGTCGGCGTCGGCGTCGGTGTCGGCGCAGATGTCGGCGTCGTCGCCGTCGTGGTGCGTCATGCGCTGAGCGTCGTGCGTCGTGCGTCGTGCGACTTCGTCGACGTCGTCGTCGTAGTCGTCGTCGTCGTCGTCGTCGCCGCCGGGGCGGGAGGGGTCCAGACCCCCCAATTATTTTCCCAGGGGGGCCCAGACACCCCCACTGACTTTCCCCGGGGGGAGGGCCTTCTGGACCCCCCCACACATTTGCCCAGGGGGGGGGATTCGGAACAACCCCCCCTATGGTTTTTTGGGGAGTGGGGTTTGAAATACCCCCCACTGCCCGCAGCGGCAGAAAGCGCTCTCTCACAGAATTCGACAATTTCCGGAGACCTCCCACACATCATGGCGCCCAAAAGCTCCGAACATCCCCCTCAGAGTCCCCAGAATGCACCGAAGAGGCGCGCAAAGAACTCCGAAACGCCCCCAAGAAATCCCCCACCAGAACCCAATCCTCTTCCACAATGCATCGACGTTGTCGTCCTTTTCGTCCTCCTTCTCATCCTCCTCCTCCTCCTCCTCCTCCTCCTCCTCCTCCTCCTCCTCCTCCTAATTCTGGATTCCTGAAGGCATGAAGAGATGTCGACTGCCGCCCCCCCCCGCCTCCGCCGCCTCCTCCTCCTCCGCCTCCTCCTCCTCCTCCTCCTCCTCCTCCTCCTCTCCTCCTCCTCCTCATCATCATCATCATCATCATCATCATCATCATCATCAGCTTCCTCATCCTCCCAAGCCTTGTATTCCTTCTCATCCCCCGCCTCCTCCTCCCCTCCTCCTCATCATCATCATCATCATCATCATCATCATCATCATCATCATCATCTCATCATCCTCTCTCCTCCTCCTCCTCCTCCTCCTCCTCCTCCTCCTCCTCCTCCTCCTCCTCCCACTCCTTGTCCTCGACGTTTTCGTGCTGTTCCTGACCTCCTCGGGGGTCGGCGGAACGGCGCAAGCCTCTCGAAGAAGCAGACGTGTCATGAAATACGAAGAGACCTCATGGCCCCCGCCATGACATCCACCACCCCTACAGTCGGGGCGTTGACCTAAGGAACCCTAAATAAGGAACGAGGCCCCTTTCTTCCATAAGTCAAACTTCGATTTCTGGTCGAAAACATAAGGAACACCTGAGGCAAGCTGTGAAACACTTAAGGAACGCGGAGCCCCTCACCAACCAAAAAGGTTCCTTCTTCAGGGCCCCGACTGTAGTGTTTTTCCATTCGCAAACATCAACATGTTTCGATGCTGGCACTGTAGCTCGCGCGAGGGCCGTTCGCATCACGAGCCAAGCGAGGAGAGATCGCGAAGCAGACCCGCAACCCCAGACGACAGGGGTGAGGGTGCACTGTGCAGCCCTGCACCACCCAGACCGAACATCCCCCCCCTAGCCATCACGCCCTCTCTTTGGGAAAACACTGATACCTCTACTCCCCAGGCCTCTCCAAGGGTGCGTTCTGACAAGAATTTCGAAGCGAATCCAGCCGTGGCGACGAGGGCCTCCCAGGAGGCCCAAAAGGGGTAGAACGAGGAAAGGGTAGCGGTATGGATACATGCTCCTCCTCTGGCGATGGGGGCGAATAGCCCAGTAGTGGGCAAAGCATGTATCCAGAGGCGCCGATGGTCCATGCCTTCGGCGAGGCTCCCGGGCGGATGCGCGCAATGCCCGCCGCTAGCCCATTCGCCCCTAGCCGTCGCCCCCTCACTTGGCCGCCCCCGACAGAACAGGATGGCGGCGATGATGATGATGATGATGATGATGATGATGATGATGATGAGGAGGAGGAGGAGGAGGAGGAGGAGGATTAGGAGAGGAGGAGGAGGCGGAGGAGGAGAAGGAGGAGGAAGAGGAGGGGGTTGAGGCAAAAAAGCGGACCAGTGCAAACCCGAGACTCATCAAAGATCCATGTGTTCATAGGCCCCTACGAAGATTCACTGTCACTGCGGGAAGTGCCCAATTGGAAGACAACCGCTTGAAAATCCTGAACTGTGCCAGAACACTGTTCCTGGGCTTTCAACGCCGCGAATCAGCGTTACGGTTGCATCTTGACAATCCTGGATAGTGCCAGAACACCGTTCCTGGGACTTCAACAACACGATTCCTATACCCATAGGTCGGAAGAAATAGGCAAACAAACATGAAGTAGGAAGGCGCTGGAAGTATATTGGGTTCCCGCCCGCCCCTAAAGAGAACGAAAAAGGCGAAGTCACTCGATCAGTGTGAAGTAGGAAGGCGCCTAAATTAGATTGGAATCTGGGACTCCAAAAATCCCAACTTTCAACGACCGATGGGTACATGTCCTTCATGTCTAATCGTGCTCATTTTTTTTTGCCGTGGCAATGCTCCGCGGCGCAACGGCTGCACGCGAGCTGTAACGGCAGGCAGCCACTAGGCCACCCCGAAAAAGCAGCGCACCTCCTCGAAGATGCGCACGCCGTCCTTGGCGCCGACGCTGGTGTCCACCACCTCGGACACCAACTTCATGGCAACGCCCTCGACTCCTTGACCGCCACCTCGAGGCTGCTCCAGATGCATCTCCTGCAGCAGCGACACGCACTCGCACGGCTCGAAGAACTTCACGATCGCCCCGCGCCACGCGTCGACATCGTCCTGCGGAGCTGCCACCTCCACAGCCTCCTTCGCGGTCTGCTGGTGGCCGCTCCTCTCGGCCAGCCGCCATCCTTCTGTCAAACCGTGCGCGAAGGCCCTTGCCTCCGCTCGCTGGTCGGCCTCCTGCCAAACGCCTGGCGCCAGCCCCCCTCCGCCGTTGAGCACGGTGCCCTCCGACGCCATGTGGTTGACGCTCTGTGAGTCGTCGTCGCCGTCCGACTCGTCCTCGCTGCCTACCTCCGTGCCAGACGCCGTCCTCCGACGCCTCCTGGATGGGCCCATCATCGTCATCATCGTCCTCATTCCTCCGCCCCCGCTGCCGCCAAGGGGCCCTGGAAAGAGAACACGCCAGGTTGAGCAACCGGCTCGAGCTCGGCGACGTGGATGACCTTCCCCTCGACCCCGAGCCACTTGCTGCCCCTCCTGATGTCGGGTTTCAGCTTCGCCTCCCAGTCCACGCTGAGCGGCACCAGTGCCCGCTTCTCTTGCTCGCTCTCGCTCTCGACAGCCTCAGCGACGCCGCGCACGTCGCAGTTCCCGTGCTCGGCCTCCTCCGCCTCGAGCTGAAAGCCCAGGCGGGGTCCCTGCGCCACCTCCGCGATCTCCTCGGCGGTCGCCCTGCGGAAGCCGCTCGGAGGGGCCCAGGCTGCGTGGATAGCTGCGTTGCGGCGCCGGCGCGATGCGCCCGCCACCCGCCGGCCCTCCACCGCGCAGACCAAGGCGGGCCTGGCCGCCCGCTCACGGTCCTGCCATGACCCCGGCTTGCAGGGGCCCGCCACGGCATGGCACCAGGCCTCCAGCGCCCTCAAGCGCCGCCGCCTGGCCGCCCGTCTCGCCGCAGAGGGGCCCAACACCAGGTTCTCCTGCTGCCTGAGCGCCTTGGGCTGCCAGCAGGCTGGCAGCCCCCCGCAGCCGTTGCGCCCCGCCGCCCAGGCCGCCGCCATCGCAGGAGGCGCGCCGCCGCGGAGGACCCAGCTTCCCGCCTGAGCAGCGCGTCGAGCGCCGCCCCCTCGCCCGAAGCGCGGCCGCTGGAGGCTTGAGCCAAAATGGCTTGAGCCAAAATGGCTACGGTAATCGTGCTCATTTCTAATTATGCTCGTTTCTAATTGTTCCTGGCCCCCTGGTGGCCAGGAAGAGGCCCAGGATAGAACAATTAGAAATGAAAGGATCTTGGCCCGCAAAACTCAAACAACCTTCGAAGAATTAGATATGAACCATGTGTAACTGTTGCACCCTGACCAACCAGCATCGCGCCAAAACACCATGTATGGGACATTAGCCATGATAGATAAGCCCTTGAAGACGCTGTAAACTTTGGAAACTAATGTGCACGGCGCTGAGGCGATAACCACATTTTGAGAAGGAACCACCCTCCATCCGTGAAGCTCTTGCACTGCTTTAGAAGAAAAATGTGCGGCACTAAGGCGAAGGCAAACTGTTGCAATCCACCCGCCATCCATCCGTGAAAGTCTTGCAATGCTTTAAAACGAATGCGCGCGGCGCTACGGTGCCAGCCTTATTTTGAAAACGGGCCGCCCTCCACCCTTGAAGGTCCTGCAATGTTTTACAACGATCGCGCGGCCCTAGGGCGAGAGCCACAATTTGAGAACGGCCCGCCCTCTATCCGTGAAACCCTTGCATGTTCTAAAATGAATGTGCGCGGCGCGAAGGCGAAAGCCACAGTTTGAAAACGACCCGCCCTTCATCCAAGAAGCTCTTGAACAGTTTCAGCTTGAAGGTCATACATGGTGAGGAAGACTCAGGCGAAACGCCTGGCCCGCCCTACCGACACCCCTCGGGGTGCGACAGGGATGAAGCACTTATGAGGCAAGACAATGGAAGAGGGGGAGGAGGAGGAGCTGGAGGAGGAGAAGAAGGAGCAGGAGGAGGAGCTGGAGGAGGATCAACAGGAGGATGAGAAACTGGAGGAGGGGGAGGAGGAGGAGGAGGGAGGAGGAGGAGGAGGAGGGAGGAGGAGGAGGAGGGAGAGAAGGAGGAGGAGGAGGAGGAGGAGGTGACGAGCCGACGCCCCCCCCAAAAGACCTGCGACGCCGAGGGGGCACCCTCGGCGGGCGACCCGGCGGGCGGCGCCGCGCGGCCCTCGGGCTCGGCCGGCTCCAGGGGCGACCGGTCGCCGACGCCACGCCCGCGGACCTGGACGGAGCAGGAGCTCTTGAGCTGTGCCAGCTGCTCCTCCTCCTCCTCCTCCTCCTCCTCCTCCTCCTCCTCCTCCTCCTCCTCCGACTGCTCCAATTCAGCTGCTCGGCTGCCAGACTCGACTGGCTGCTCGCCGGCTCGACTGCTCGGCTGCTCGGCTGCCGGAGCTGTGACGCCTGCTCGCCCGCGGTCCTCGACCGCGGTCTTGGCTCGACTGCTCGACTGCAGGATGATCTGTGACGACTGCTCGACTCCAGTCCTGGCTCCACTGCTCGACTGCGGTCCTGGCTCGACTGCTCGACTGCCGGATCTGTGACGACTGCTCGACTGCTGGTCCTGGCTCGACTGCTCGACTCCAGTCCTGGTTCGACTGCTCGAATGCCGGATCTGTGACGACTGCTCGACTCCAGTCCTGGCTCGACTGCTCGACTGCGGTCCTGGCTCGACTGCTCGACTGCAGGTCCTGGCTCGACTGCTCGACTGCTCGACTGCCAGATCTGCGACGACTGCTCGACTCCCATCCTGGCTCGACTGCTCAGCTCTTGGCTCGACTGCTCGACTGCTGGATCTGTGACGACTGCTCGACTGCGGTCCTAGCTCGACTGCTCGACTACGGTCCTATCTCGACTGCTCGACTGCTGGTTCTGTGACGACTGCTCCACAGCGGTCCTGACTCGACTGCTCCACTCCAGTCCTGGCTCGACTGCTCGACTGCGGGATCTGTGGCGACTGCTCGACTGCAGTCTTGGCTCGACTGCTCCACTGCGATCCTGGCTCGACTGCTCGACTGCGGTCCTGGCTGAACTGCTCGACTGCCGGATCTGTGACGACTGCTCGACTGCGGTCCTGGCTCGACAGCTCGACTGCGGTCCTGGCTCGACTGCTCGAATGCCTGTTCTGTGACGACTGGTCGACTGCGATCCTGGATCGACTGCTCCACTCTGGTCCTGGCTCGACTGGTCGACTGCCGGATGATCTGTGACGACTGCTCGACTCCAGTCCTGGCTCCACTGCTCGACTGCGGTCCTGGCTCGACTGCTCAACTGCCGAGCTGTGATGACTGCTCGACTCCAGTCCCGGCTCGACTGCTCGACTGCGGTCCTAGCTCGACTGCTCGACTGCGGGATCTGTGACGGCTGCTCGACTGCTGGATCTGTGGCGACTGCCCGACTGCGGTCCTGGCTCGACTGCTCGACTGCGGTCCTGGCTCAACTGCTTGACTGTTAGATCTGCGACGACTGCTCCACTGCGGTCCTGGCTCGACTGGTCGGCTGCGGTCCTGGCTCGACTGCTCGACTGCTCAATCTGTGACGACTGCTCGAATGCGATCCTGGCTCGACTGCTCGACTGCGGTCCTCGCTCGACTGCTCGACTGCGGTCCTATCTCGACTGCTCGACTGCCGGTTCTGTGACGACTGCTCCACAGCGGTCCTGACTCGACTGCTCCACTCCAGTCCTGGCTCGACTGCTCGACTGCGGGATCTGTGACGACTGCTCGACTGCGGTTCTAGCTCGACTGCTCGACTGCCGAATCTGTGACGACTGCTCGACTACCAAATCTGTGTCGACTGCTCGACTGCCGGATCTGTGACGACTGCTCGACTGCGGTCCTGGCTCGACTGCTCGACTGCCGGATCTGTGACGACTGCTCGACTCCAGTCCTGACTCGACTGCTCGACTGCGGTCCTGGCTCGACTGCTCAACTGCCAGATCTATAACAACTGCTCGACTGTCCTGGCTCGACTGCTCGACTGCGGTCCTAGCTCGATTACTTGACTGCCTGATCTGTGAGGAATGCTCGACTGCGGTCTTGGCTCGACTGCTCGACTGCGGTCCGGGCTCGATGCTCGACTGCTGGATCGTGGCGTTCTCTCCGTTTGCATCTGCCGAACTATACACACAGCCATGCCCATTGTTGATCCACAAACATTCAAACATACTGGCATGTATGTCTGTGCAATGTGTAGGAATGGACATTCACATATATACATATATCCGTTCATATACAGATATACATAGATCCATGCATACATCAGTACATGCAGAACTATGACGTGCTCATCGTATGTATTAATATGTACTAGAACCGGGCGCGCTCTTCGCGCGCTTAGATTCTACTCTGGCACGAGCATCGGATGCGCCGTGGAGCGAATGAGGTTGGGAGCGGTTGCAGGAAAAGCTGTGGATAACTGACTCACTGAGGACTGCCAGGCATATAATCCAGCCACTGGCCCTCGTAGACATCGGCCCTCTCGATGAGAAGAAGCAGTTGCAGCATGATAACGAATAGCTCACAGCCAGAGCGTAAATGAAACGACTGAGAAATCACCCTCAAGCCTCGATCGTCGAGCGCCGATGAACCATCGAACGCCGATGCACGACGGATGCGGCGTGGGCGAGGACGACAGAGAGGTCAACGACGACAGACGACAACGACGACGACGACGACGACGATGACTACGACGCAACCCTGCCCTGCGAGCCAGCGCCGGAGTAGCCGTGACCCCCCAAGCTAGCTCAATCGCCTTAAACAAAGATTCAAAAAACAGATCTCGCAGGAGCCAGCACCGGGGTAGCCGTGACCCCACAGGCTCGCTGCCAGAACGGGAATAGTGCATCGGAGAAAACCCACCTCGAACCTCCATCGTCGACCCGATGACCGACGGATGCAATGTGAGCGACGCCTGTGGGGTTGTCTTGGGACCCTCTAGGGGGCCTCTGGGACCGAGCCCGCGAGCACCGCCAATAAGCGGAGCCGACTGTCGGCTCGAGGAGCAAAATGAAAGCAAAAGGGTGAAACATTCTCAACCCTCCTGCTGTGGGCCTTCCTTCGTTTTAAATAGAGCGCTCTGGTCTCCAGTCCTCCCGCCTCTCTCCTCCTCTTCCCCCCTCTTCCTTTGATACTACACAACCAGGTTACTATACAAGTATAGGCCTCCCATATCCTTGTATGGCGTGTGTTTAACAAAGGGAGGGCCCCCCTGCGAAACCTGGTGTGCTGCCAGATAGCACGAACGGGTCCCACCCCAGCTCCGCAGCCGCGAGTGGGTCTGTGGGGTTCCCTGAGCTACGCCACGGCAATCACTACAATTGGATGTAGGGAATCAGCTCCTGTAGTCACTGATATCCTTACTCTGCTGCCACATTACTGCTGGTACCTCGGGCTGGCCCGAGCGTCCATAACCAGCAATATGGCAACCACGGGCCGCCTCGAGCTTCCAATGGGACCCAATCCAAGCTCTTATGGCGGCCCCACCTGTGACAACAGTGGTCTTCGATTTGTGCATCCACCAGGACCAGGATCCCACTACCATCAGCAGGGCTCCCACGAGGCTTTTGGGCATCCGACACCCTGGGCTCTATCAGAGGTTCCACGGCCGTTGTTCCCATCCAAGAAGCACCTATCAGACTCTCTGGGGCAAACCTCAACACGGGGCCTTCAAAACCAGTTATATAAAGACCTACCTGCCACGGATGTGTCAGGGACTTGCAGAGTCTATTTGCGAATCATTCGCCGCATGTTTGTCATGAACCAGGTGCTGAGGAAGAGACAGACTGTGACGACAGAAAACAACTCTCATCAGTTGACGAATGGTTGGCAAGACCATATGCCTGTTATGTACGCGACGTGGATCACAATTTCTCTGGAGGCGCCCGATTTTGCCCCAGCCAGAAATAACGACATAATCAAACGTGCCGATCCTGATATCGCCAGATTCGTGGACACCTTCTCCTGTCTCCTGCTCCGACTCCCGCTATTGAGGACCCCCTTCTTTCGCCCTAGCCCCCTGGAGGCCTCCAACGAGAAAGAATATGTTGGACCCCGAGATGTCCTGGCGGTGGGGGTCGGGCCCAGGGGGGGCGTATACACACACACACACACAGACCAGTACATGGGGAGAAAGTACCAGCATGGCCCGTGGGATCTGTTTGTCGTGCGCCTGTGACATGCATCTTGGGAGCCCTTCGGAGGCTTCTGGCGGCGTCTTGGGGGCCTCCGGGGCTTTTCTTGGAGTCTCCTAAAGACTTTTTGGGGCCGAAGGCTCGAAAGGTCCGTTCGGATTCCCTGTCCGGGCCCCTTCTTAGAGCCGTCTTGGGGCTATCTTGGAACGTCTTGGAGGCCTCTTGGGCTGCTTGGGTCCACCTCGGGCTGTCTTGGGGCCGTCTTGGGAGCCTCTTGGGCTGTCTTTGGGCGACCTCAGGAGCCTCTTCGGCTATCTTGGAGCGTCGGGAAGCCGAAAAGGTGAGAACCACAAAAAATCCTCAAAAGCCATCGGGGGGGGGGGGGGAAAAAAAAAAAAAAAAAAAACATGTGTTGCCTCTTGTGGCCCTCTTGCAAAAGCCTCTTGGAGGCCTCTTAGGGCGTCTTGGAGGCCTCTTGGGCCGTCTGGGGACTATCTTGAGCGTCTTGGACCGATCTTGTGGCGTCTCGGAGCCCTCATGGACATTAAAAAATTATCCCAGTGCGACCCTACCTAGGAGTTGGAACCCCTAGGAAAGCAGCATTAGTAGTAACAGTAACGCTAAGCTAAAGCTAAGCTAAAGCTAAGCTAAAGCTGAGCAACAGCTAAGCTAAAGCTAAGCTACAGCTAAGCTAAAGCTAAGCTAAAGCTAAGCTAAAGCTAAGCTAAAACTAAGCTACAGCTAAGATAAAGCTAAGCTAAAGCTAAGCTAAAGCTAAGCTACAGCTAAGCTCAAGCTAAGCTAAAGCTAAGCTAAAGCTAAGCTAAAGCTAAGCTAAAGCTAAGCTAAACGCTAAGCGAAAAGCTAAGCGAAACGCTAAGCTAAAGCTAAGCTACAGCTAAGCTAAAGCTAAGCTAAAGCTAAGCTAAAGCTAAAGCTAAAGCTCCCAGGGGACTGGGGGGAACCGCTCCCAAGGGACTGGGGGAACCGCCCGGGGCGCTTTCCACTGCCCGAACCTTTTAAGCTAAGAGAGTAAGAACCCTTCTAGGCAGAGCCTAGGTAGGGAATGTCTACACTTCTCGATTTGTGCGTGTCATCCTTGCGCAGGGGCCATGCTAATCTTCTCTGTATCGTTCCAATTTTAACGGATGATCCCCGAAGGGAATCCGGAGCCCTCATGGACATCTTGGGTGCTTCCTAAGGCCGTCTTGGAGTTCTCGGCCGTCTGGAGGCCCCTTGGAGGCGCCAGGGCGGTGGTATCAAAAAAGGGAGCCCGATGGTTTTTTGAGGTGGGCGGCGCCCCCGGGCTGGGGGCATGGTATTCATCCATACTATATACAAAAATGTCTACATACATACACATGTAAATGTATAAGCATAATGTGTATATATATAGAATATATATATATGCATACATATATACATATCCACATCTACAGACATCCCTCTATCTAAATGTCCATCCCTCTTCCTCTCTCCACGCACACAGCAAAGATAGCGAGCTGTGAAGGGGAAGCGGTGTTCTCTTAGACCCGCACACACACACACAAAAACCTAAAGGGAACTGGGAGGGGTAGCGGTTGCCCTCTTTCACTCTGAACGCCCAAACCAGACGGGAAGAATGCTCGGGGCAATGGTTGCTCTGTTTTTTTTTTCTCTCTCTCTCTCTCTCTGTCTCCCTCTCTCCCTCTCTCTCTCTCTCTCTCTCTCCCTCTCTTTCTCTCTATATCCGATTTTCCACACGCACGCAACGCAGAGTTGGCAAGGGGAGGGAACAGCGGTTACCGTCACAGCCTCCAGCAGCCGCGCACTCGCGGAGAAGGAAATGGAATAAGGGGAATGGTTGCTCTCTCTCTCTCTCTCTCTTCCTCTTTTTCTCTGGCTGTCTGTCTCTCTCTCTCTCTATCTCTCTCGCTCTCCCTCACGCTAAAAACTATATATAAATATGTGAGTACCCACATACTCTAGTCATATACATATGTGTAGCTAGCTCTAAACATACAAACCCACAAATATGAATGTACATGTCAGTCCAGTCTGCATGCGTACATATATACAAGTATCGATCTACATAACCTTATATGCGTACGTACACCTCTCTACACATATATATGTGTACTTCCATATAGGCATATACCTATATATGTATCAAGATATCCACACAGTCGTCGATCAATCCATTATTGCATAGACTGAAACAGCTATATCCCATCAATCGACCCACCCATCAATATGCATATCTATGACTATATACGTACACAGATATTCATTGAACAATCGATCCGTATACTTTTTTATGTACATGCGAACATACAGATGTACCAATGTTGTGCCTATAAATCTATATATATATACACACATCAGCATGTCTATATATATATATACACGAACACGCATCAGCACATCTGTCTATATATACACACATTTCTTTGCTGTCCACAGAATAACAATCAAGTCGAAATCGCCGACAAAGCGGGCAACCCGATGCAAAACGCATAGTGGGATTTCTTGTATATGACGCACACCAGGAATCTATGTGTTAATCCTCCAGTGGAAGAATTCCAATGTAACGTCACAAAACTGATCTGATGTTTAACCCTTACAATAAGAGTCGATGTGCGAAACGACCACAAAAATAATTCTCTTGCTAACCACCACAACAGATTCTACTCGTGAGGCACACAAGGAAACTCCGCATGTGTATCTACCATACCAAAAACCTGTTGTAACACCGCACAAGAGGCTGCTACATACGTGTAAACACAAGAACAACAATGAACTTGTAAAGGGCACACTCAAGAATCCGATTACGCAGCCCCAAAGCGATTTCATTTGTAACCCACGCAACAACAATCAGATCGTGAATCGCCCACTCACATGGCATTCGAATGCGAAACGCGCACACGGATTTCTTTGCAATACACACAATCGGAGCCAAATGTGCGTCTCCCACTGAAGAAATCGAAGGAAGTAAAGTCTCGCGAACCCTTACACTGGGAATCAATGTCTGATTCGCGCGCAGAAGGAAGTCTCTTGAAAAGTACCACACAAGGATTCGAGCTGAAATCCCTAAAAGTAGGCTTAACATGCATATCCGTCACCAACAGAATTCTATAGTAAAGCAAAACGCACGACATTTGTAAGCCACACAATAAAAATAAAAGTATAATCTTGCCACAGAAAGAGTATGATCGTGCAGCCCCACAAATTGGTTTTGTCTTGTAACCCACACAGCAGGAAACAATGTGTACAACAAATCGTTTTGCGTGGCTTTGCAATCAAATTTCCTCCTGTTGTGGATTAAACTATTGACTCCTATTGTGTACTACATACAAGAATATTATCGCGCGGCGTTGCAGTAGAAGTGCGCTTGTGGGTGATTTACCACTCGGTTGCACTTGTGAGGCAGTTGCACATTGTTTTCACTTGCGTGGGTATAATCGTAGCGACTTGCAGAACAAGACGCCACGCAACACACCACCACGCAACAGAGCAAATCAGGCGAGAAAGCAGCCAAGAACGCTCATAAGCAGAGTCACCATCGACGGGCCCCGGGACCGCTGAAAAACAGCTCCGGACGAAAACCAGACCTAGGGGAGCTGTCCAGCCCTCTGGGGGCCCACGCATCTCAATGATTGGAGCGCCGGATGTCTGGGACTCTGTGGATCCTGGCGCTTTTCGCCTCGATGTTGGCTTGAACGGCCCCAGAGCAACCAAAAGCGAGTCCGGACGAGAAACTATACCCCAGGAGCGCTGGGTTCGCGGGGTGACAAAATCATATTCTATCGGAGGACGCATAGGAGCAGAAAAATCGAACTTTAGGTTTCGGAGCCCACCACGGATTTGTCGGATCGGCGCTGGGCCCCCTCCGCGCGCTGGGCCTGAGGCGCCGCCCCTGGCCTAGCGCCGATCCAAAAAAATCCGCGCAGATATCCAAAAGTTCACGCTGACGGTCGGGAACTTCTGCTCAGCGTGTTGTTGCGGCGGCGGTCCCGGCGACACGGTCTGCCCTTTGAGAAGATAGCGTGTCGCTCCGTTCCGCGTGGAGGCAAGGCTCGGGACGCTGACTCTCGGGAACCCGGAAGTGGTCAGAGTATCGCACCGGGGCGTGATGGGCCGGGAGTAGCTCTGCCGCTTCTTTCGGGCTTCTACTGACCTGGGTCAATGCAAGCTCGGGCCGGTCAGGCTTGGCAGGATCCTGCAAGATTCTCCAGGATCCTGCCCGCAAGCCCGGACCAATGCAACCCTGGCTTCGCAGACACCTGCAAGATCCGCCGCTCTGGCTGACCCCCGCTTTCACTGACCTCCGCCTCAAGGCTCCCGAGCTGTGCCGCTTCTGTTGACGGCGCGCACAATGGAGCAGGGGGAGAGGGAAGGCGTCTTAGAAGGAGGCCGCTTCTTAGAAGGCGCGGGCCTTACATCTACAGGCAAGGCCCGCTTCTAAGAGGCAGCCTCCTAAGAAGCTTCTCCCCCTCCCCCTGCCCCCCCCTGCGCGTGGCTGATCAAGGCTCCCGAGCTGTGCCGCTTCTTCCTCTCCGGCCTGAGCCGGCGCTGGCGGCAGGCGGCCGTCGGCAGCGGAGCCGCTGAGCGAGCTCGCCGTGCTGCTGCCCAGAGGGTCCCGCCGCCCCGCGGGGCGCCCGGGCTCCGAGCGCCGCGGCTCCGCCTGGCGCCTCGCGCCCGCCGCCGCGGGCGGGGGCGCCGGGCGCCGCTGCCACACGGGGCCTGCCGGGTGCTGCCAGGAGTGGTCCTGGCCCAGGGTGGCCCTGGCTTGTCGCGCAGTTTGTGGTGGCACCTGGGGCCCCCTGGGCCTCGCGGGGGCGGCGCTCTGGAGGCTGCCTGGGCGACGACCAGAGACGGGTCTTATAGGCGAGACGGCATGACAACCTGACGCGGTGGCTTGCGCGGGCCGCCAGCTCGGCGCGCCACACGCAAGACGAGATCGCTCACGCGCGACATTGCGCGGGCAGCTTTCGCGCCAAGGTCGGCGCAGACGACCCCGCTTCCTGGTGTCGCTCACCTGGACCTCCGCGGCACTCCTGGGGGCACCTTGGGCCCAGGGGCACCGCTAGCAACACCCCACGAGGCCTGGCTCCTGGCTGTCCTCGTTGTCAAAGTCGAGCTCCTCGTCGCTGTCGTCGCCAGCGGCCTGCGCCGACCGCGGGGGCTGGTGCACCGAAGCATGCGCCCGCGCGTGGGCGGCCAGAGGCGCCAGCTCCCCCGCCGCGGGCGGCAGGCCCGCCGGGTGGCCCAGCGCCTCGGTGCCGAGCCCTGGCGTGGCAAAGGCCAGCCTCTCCACGTGCAGCACGCGGTGCTCCACCTGCTCCAGGTCGGACGTGAAGAGCTCGCGGCTCCGCTCGAGGTCGTCCAGGCGCGAGGCCAGCTCGCGGGTGACGGGCGACGTCACGGCCTGCTGCAGCGCCGCCGACGACTCCTCCGCCAGCAGCCCAGGCAGCGCCCTGCGAAGTGGGCTGTCCTCCGCGCGGAGCTGCCGGCGCAGCTCCGCCTCCGCTGCTCGCGCGTCCTCCACGGCCAGCCAACACGTGATCCCGCGCGGGGACGCGCCGCCCGGCCCCGCGTCGCGCTGCAGCTGCACCAGCGCGGCCCCGTGCAAGATGCCCTGAAGGATGGGGGCGAGCTCGCCCTCGGAGATCTGCGCGGGGCCAGGCGCCCCCGCCGAGCCGCTGGGCCACCGGAGCCGGAGCGCCACGTAAAGGGGCTCGGGCAGCTGGCTGAGGCTTGCGCCCTCCAGGTTTGCGCCGGATATCTGGTCCTCGAGCCGGTTCAGGCGGCTCGTCAGCGCCGAGACCGAGAGCGAGACGGACTGGGGGGCACCCTCCTCGCTGGAAGAGCCCTTGCGCGCAGGCAGCGCGCCCCGGCCCTCCGCCTCCAGGACGGCCACCTGCCTCTCGAGGCAGGCCGTCCGGGCCTCCAGGCCTGGCTTCTCGAGGTCCCAGACTCTCGCCTCGATCTTGGGGACCTGGCTGTCCCTCAGGTGGTCCAGCTGGGCCTCCGCCTGCGCGAGCCTCTCCTCCAGTCTCGTGTGCCGCGGCACGGCCTCCGCCGCCTGCGACGGGCTGCGCGACGTGCCGCGTGTGGCCGCGAGAGCGTCGTGCGGCTGCGCGACGGCATGCCGGGCGCCCCTGAGGGCCTGCACCCAGGGATCGACCCAAGCAGTGCTTCTCGTGTTCGTTCTGCCTTCGTTCTCCCTCGTTCTGTCTCCTCAGCCCGACGAGATGCTGCAGAACGGAGATCGAAAGGAGGACGGCCCACGAGATCGCCAAAGCGCCGCTTGGGCCGCCCCCTGCCTGCACCTGCGAGTCCGTGGAGCCGAGCTGTGCCCGCAGCTCGGCCAGCTCCGCCCAGACGTCCCCCAGCGCCGCCGAGGAGCGCTGCAGCACCTCGGCGTCCCTGGCGTCCAGCAGCTCGTCGAGGGTTCGGCCGCCGAGCTGCTCGTCAATGCCCCCGGCCCTCATCGGGCGACGAAGCCCGTGCACATCCACAGCCCCCTGGCCGGGCCCTTCCTGGGCCCAGGAGCTGTGTATGCGCCCTTCCTGGGGCAAGCCAGAAGGGCGTGGCGTACACACCGCTGCTGGGCTCAGGATGGGCCTGGCCAGGGAGCAGTGGACATGTACAGCTGTCGTCGCCCCACCGCATCGACTGCAACTCGAGGTCCAGGCGCCTCACCACGGCGCACGCGCTCTCGGCCCGCTGCTCGCTGCCGGCGGCCCTGGCGAGCGAGCCCTCGAGGCTGCCTTCCAGCGCGGCCACCTGCACGCGGATGTCCTTCGAGTAGGAGATCGACTACAGAACTGATTTGCCCCCAAAGTGATTTCCTCGACGAATCTACGAACACACACGCAGCATGCTGGTAGGTCCACGGAGCCGTCTTCGCACTCTTCGTAGATTCGACTGATGCCCGCGTACTTGCAGATTCGAGTCTGCACTTGTAGGCTCGACGAAGGGGCCCCGCTGGGGTGGGCATCGGATCCCGCTCGGAGTGGGTGGCGTGGCGTTGGGGGGACGGGAGGGGGGGGGGCGGCGGCGGTCGGCGGCCGTCGCAGGGAGCGCCCCTGCCCTTCGAAAGGCCTCGTCCAAGAGCCTCCGTGGGGGGAGGAGGGCGGAGGAGGAGGAGGAGGACGACGAGGAGGAGGAGGACGACGAGGAGGAGGACGAGGAGGACGAGGAGGACGAGGAGGACGGGGGGGGGGAGGCTCCGCCCTCCTGGGAGGGCCCTCGTTCAGGCACGTTGGAGGAGGCCCTCCTGGGAGGCCTCCTCCAAGGGCCTCCACGGAGGGCCTTCTCCGGGAGCCTCCAGGGGCCCCAAGAGAGGGCCCCGTCCGCTCTACGGCCTTTTCGCACCAGCGAGCTCGGGTCCTCGATGCCCGAGGTCAGGTCCTGCACACCGCCCGCCAGATCGGCCACCCGCGCCGAAGCAGCCCGCGTGCCCGCCGACTCGGCCTGCGCGGCGGCGGACGCCGCCGCCAGCTCCGCGGCGCGCGCCTCGAACAGGCCCACCCGGGCCGCCACTGCATCGAATTCCTCGCGCGAGGGCAGGCCAGCAAGCTGCCTGTCCCTGCGCTCCTGGTCCGCCCTAACCTGGGGGATCGAGAAGATGCCGTCAAGTACCCATCGGCCGGACGAAGTGGGTAGTAGAAACAGGAAGTTGGTAGGCGTTGGAAGTAGATCTACTTAGGTTTCCGCCCGCCCCCGAAGAGAAGGGAAGAGGAAAAGCCGCTCGATGATTTGAGTAGGGAGGCGCCTCAAAGTAGATTGGGACCTGCGCATCCACACAAATGTCGACTTTCAACGTCCGAAAGGGTACCGCTGCTCCCTGGCCAACCCAGCCCTGGCGGCTAGGGCCCCCCCCGGCCCAAGGAGGCCCCAAACGGCGAAAGTGAAAGGTGCCCCGATGCGCAGCACGCAGCCCGTAGCGTTTGGCACGGAGCTCAACACGCAGATTGAAACGTACGTTTAGCCTGGTACGTTCGCCAAAACGTGGGCCAACACGTTGAGCCAACACGCAGCGTGTTGACACGGACGTCCTGAACGCGGTGCGCGTTGCGCTTCAAAACGGGTGTACTAGAGCAGCTAAGGAGGGGAGGGAATCGGTATCGGTAGGCTTCACCCCTCCAGTGACCAATTCAGACACAACCCCATGCATGCGCGACTCTGCAGTCTGTGCGCCCGCGGCCTCGGCGCGCAGCTCCACGGCGAGGCGCTCCAGGTGCTGCTGGTGAGCTCTCTCGAGCTCGCGCATCTGGTCCTGCAGCTTCTGCTGGTTCGCCTCCAGCTGCTGCAGTGCACCAGGGTCGGTGGCCTTCTCGCCGACCTCGGCGCGCAGCTCCGCGGCGAGGTGCTCCAGCTGCCGCTGGTGCGCGCCCTCGAGCTCGCGCATCTGGTCCTGCAGCTTCTGCTGGTTCGCCTCCAGCTGCTGCAGTGCACCGGGGTCGGTGGCCTTCTCGCCGACCTCGGCGCGCAGCTCCGCGGCGAGGTGCTCCAGGTGCTGCTGGTGAGCTCTCTCGAGCTCGCGCATCTGGTCCTGCAGCTTCTGCTGGTTCGCCTCCAGCTGCTGCAGTGCACCAGGGTCGGTGGCCTTCTCGCCGACCTCGGCGCGCAGCTCCGCGGCGAGGTGCTCCAGCTGCCGCTGGTGCGCGCCCTCGAGCTCGCGCATCTGGTCCTGCAGCTTCTGCTGGTTCGCCTCCAGCTGCTGCAGTGCACCGGGGTCGGTGGCCTTCTCGCCGACCTCGGCGCGCAGCTCCGCGGCGAGGTGCTCCAGCTGCTGCTGGTGCGCGCCCTCGAGCTCGCGCATCTGGTCCTGCAGCTTCTGCTGGTTCGTCTCCAACTGCTGCAGTGCACCAGGGTCGGTGGCCTTCTCGCCGACCTCGGCGCGCAGCTCCGTGGCGAGGTGCTCCAGCTGCTGCCGATGCGTGCCCTCGAGCTCACGCAGCCCCTCCAGCTGCTGCGCGAGCTGCTGGCGCTGCGCGCCTTCGAGCTCGCCCAGCTTCTCCAGCTGCTGCTGCTGCGCGGCCCTGAGATCGCCCAGCTGTGCCTCGAGCTGCTGGACCGCGGCGGGGTCTGTGGCCCTCTCGGCCACCTCGGCGCGCAGCTCCGAGGCGAGCCGCTCCAGGTGATGCTGCGCGCCCTCGAGCTCCTGCAGCTGGGCCTCGAGCTGCTGCTGCGCGTCCCTGCCCTCCTCGTCCACCCTCCGCGAGAGGGCGGCGAGCTGCTGAGCCACGCCCTGCTCGAGCCGCGAGGCGCTGCGCTGCGCCCGCGCCTCGGCCTCCTGCACGCGCTGCTGCAGCCGCAGCTCCAGGGCCTCCGCGCCCCTGCTCGCGCCCGCCTGCCCGCAGTCCAGGACGCCCTCCAGCCGCGCCTCCAGCGCCGCGGCCTGGACGTCCGCCTGCTGGCAGGAGGCCTCTGCCGACCAGCCACGGGCTGGCCCTCGCGCCCCCCCCCACCAGGGGACCCCCTCGCATCGACAGAGCCTCTCCAGATGGTGGCCCTCGCGCCCCCCCCCGGGGGACCCCCCCGCATCGACAGCCTCTCGAGAGGGGCGCCGAGGGGGGTCCCCGGAGGAGGAGGGCCCGCTGAGGCGGCGGCGGCCCCCCCGCCCGGCCCGAATCTGCTCGGAGTCCGCCCCCGGAGCCCCTCCGAGGCGGATCCAGCCGTGGCGACGGTAAGCCTCCGGGGAACCGCCAGGGAGGGCCGCCGCTGCCTCGACTGGAGCCACTCGCCCCTCGAGCGAGGTGGGGGGTCCGCGGCGGCTCCCTCGGCCGTGGCTGGCCCGCCTCCAGGCCCAGCAGCTTCTGCGACAGCCGCTGGGTGGCCTCCACCGCGGTGCGCAGCGCCTCGGCCTGCTCCTCGGCCTGCTGCGAGACCTGGCCGGCCGCGAAGTCGACCTTGGCCTCCAGCGCCGGCAGCTTGGAGAGCTTGGCCTCGCAGGCGGACAGCCGCCGCAGCTGCACCTCCTCCGAATACGCCCGCGCCTTGGCCTCCTCCCGGAGCTCCCGCACGGGCCCGGCCTCCGGCAGCCGCTTCAGCACGCTGTCCACGAGGTCGTTCCTCGGAGGCGACAGAGCCCAGAGGACAGGCCCTGACTCCGACGCGTACTGTCCGAGATCGAGCGCCACGTGGAGGGCCAGTGGGAGTGCTCATCAACACATGTGCGTCCAGGACGACAGGGCACGCCCAAACGGCAAACGCCGCCCCCCGCCCTGGCACGCCCGTGGCGCGCACGTGCGCCCTCGGGACGACCGAGAAGAACGGCATAGGCAGGCAGAAACCGTCGCTGGGCCGCCCGTGGCGCGCTCCGCGCGCCGGGGAGGGGGGGGGCCCAGCGTAGATCCACGAAGAGATCCGCGCGGGCCCCCAAGAGTTTATGGCTCTGCAGCCCTTTCCTCTCCTTAGCGGCGCGCAGAGGGGGGTTTAGGGTTTAGGGGGTGAGGGGCTCCTCAGAAGGAGGCTGCTTCGAAGAAGGCGCCAGCCTTGCACCCACAGATAGGGCCCGCGCCTTCCGAGAAGCAGGGGTGCTCCTGAGAAGCCCTCCCACGAGGAGGAGGAGGAGGAGGAGAAGGAGGAGGAGGAGGAGGAGGAGGTTGAGGAGGAGGTTGAGGAGGAGGGGCTCCTGTCGCCCTGCTGCTCCCACAGCCGCTGCTCCAGCGCGCCGCAGCGCTGCCCCAGGGCCTCCTTCCAGGCCTCGCACTGGCTCTCCACCTGCGCGCGGTGCTCCGCTGCGCGACGCTCGAGGACCGCCAAGCGCTCCTCCAGCCGGTGCTGCCCCGCCTGCTCGACCTCGCGGATCCGGTCGGCCACGTCGTCCGCTAAGGCGCACCGGCGCGCCCGCGCGTCGGCGGCGCGGGCGTCGGCCTTCGGAAGAGCCCATGACGTGAGCATCTGCGGCCGAGTCGCCCCGACAAGGATGCGCGGTGAGGGCGCAAGGGCCTTGGAGGGCCATGCTGGCGTTTTCGAACGGGGCTGGCCAGC